CTGTTTATTCGGAAACGCTCTGATACAGCGAGTCTGGTATTTCAGACTTGATTCTCTTCGCTGCTGAACATAACCCATGTTCCGTAAATCCCACACCAGCACTCTCCGACCTGCTGTCCCCACAATTAGTCTATCTCCAGACACAGAAAGCGTGTAGACCTTTAAAAAAAAAATTACAATATTTAGCACTTGTCAGTCTGGATATCTGTTGTTCACTGTACAAAATAAAGTGTTAGCAATATACAACAACAAAACAGGTGATATCTACAATAAAGTCTATAACTATAAAGTCTATAGCTACAGTCTTTAGCTTCAATTTATAACTCAAATTTGGGATAAAGAGCAGTAGTGTGCAGCTGGTTAGTGATAAGACACTGATGTAGCATTTCAAAAGCTCACCCTGAATTCTGTACCCTAGCACACCTGGAAAAATCAAGCCCAACACAGCATCATACTACATATAACTAATTTAGCAAATAAAAAATAAAAAGTTTAATATGCATATGCACTTGTGCAATGCTAAATTTCAAGCACATTTGTTCAGTTACCAGTCTCCAGATCTCAGTGACATCTAAATAAATCTTCCACACATAAGATTTCTTCCTTTTGCTAGTATTACCCATCTTCTAAATGCTACATGTGTACAGAAGTATTTGTGTGATTCAAAAGGGAAATCAGTATTATTAGTCATAAATTATTTTAAATATTAAATTCATAGGATATTTCAAGTTAAGAGCAAAACAGATACAAAGTAACGGGGGGGGGAAGCGGGGTGTAGATACTGGAAATCATCTTTGCTTGGTATGCACAGCTTGCATTCCCCACTATCAAGTCATAATCCTGCAGTTTAGTCCTACAATACCACATTTCCTTTTTGTTTTTTCTCCATCTGGTAATCATGTGGTTTTCTTTTTAAACAGAATACTTCAAGTTGAGCTTCACGTTAATAACGAGAAATAAATTGCCAAGAAGTCATTAAAAAAAACACAACAGTACTTTGTATACTTTAATAAAACTAAGTGAAATTGAAGGAAGCAATATGCTTGACATCATTAAAAAAGACTATGGCTTGGAATTTCAACTCTACTCCAAAAACTGGCTCAGAGGTTCTAATTTTTGGTTATCAAATTTCTCATTAAAATGCTCAGCATATAAATCATTGTGTTTCCAACTATTACTTGGGATGCAATTAATCTGGAAACGCGTTTAAAAAAAGAACAAGAAAAAAGGCTCAGTCAAAAACTCTGTACTACCAAATGAATTACAAGTTGTTGATACACATGCAAGATGGAATCCAGCTACCTATAGCTGTCCTGTCACTGAGCTGCTAACAAGAGCACACTGTAAGAATGAGCTTTGTCAGAAGTGATCTAATGCAGCTAAATACATAGGAAACAGATCTTGTACATACCTCAGATCAAGAATCAAAAGTGTAAGAGATCTGGTATGCTGCCAGAAGGATTCAATTTACTTTTGGCATGTGTTTGTAAAGTTTCGCTCAAGCACCTAGTTTCACTTTCTGGTTCTCTGATAAAGCTCAATAAAGCTATTTGGTTCTGGTAAAACTGCACTGAAATATCAGATACAACAACTCTTCATTTGCTATAAACATTTCTGTAGAAGTTGCATTTTCAAAAAGTTAATTTCTAATAAAAAAACTAAGCAGACAGGTGTGTGTGGGTATGCATGTGCATATATACATACATATATATAAAAAACTTTCTTTAACCAATCCACATTCCTTCAGCATGCATTCTTGCTCTAAAATGTGATTATTGAATTTCCCTCTTAAGACTGAGGTCTTAAGATGGGAAATGTCTGAAGTGCTCACAAAGGAGTTGCCTAAAATGTCTGATTATCCCAACTTCCAAAACCCACCTACATATAAAAAGGTCAAGAAAACTCTGAGTCAACAGTAGCTATACACTTTAAGACAACGTTTTTTTTAATCTCCCTTCATTATCGATTTAAAAATTGATCCAAAAATATTAATAAACATTATATAAAATGTGTTTGTATACATGCAAGGAGACAAAGGCGTAAAGAACATTAAGTATCTTAAATCTTCTTTACAAACTGATGTCACACCTGTATAGCAAGTATTCTTTCTACACCTCACAATCATAAATCAAATGAAACCATTGTCATGCAGTTGAGTAGGTGTACACATTTATCAAAGGCAGTATTAAAAAAAAAAATGACATAATGAACCTTGCTGAACCAATAAGCAGCTTGATTCACTGGGGCTGTCCATTATGTAATACTCTGTCAGCAATTTATCACAGTTCTTTACATGCTACATACAACTATAAATCAAAACTAGAAATAATGCAATTACTTTATTCTGAACAAAGGTCTTGCCAGAAGTAGATTCAGCTGTGTTGTAACAGAAGTAATAGCTATTTAGATGCAACAGGGAATGTAACGATGGCTCATAATTATGACTTGACAGTACAATGTGACAGAGCTAAATGAAATTTAAAAAAAGGTATAGGCAAGAAAAATATTCACATGTAAAATTATCCAGCAACTCAGCCTGTGTTGAGAAGTCTATGAAAAAAACCAGAAATTACTGTTCTATAATTCTTTCAGTGACACCATTGTAAACAGTACAAAGATTAACACACCATATAACCATTAGAAAAAGCTTAAGACATTACATTTTACCTCATTTCTCTCCGTTTCTCATTAGCACAGAGGATTTTAGTATTAGGAGAACATCTGAATTTACTAGGCATTAGTCCAATGACAGGTAAATTACAATACAAGCAATTCTGTTCAATCTTTTCCCACAAGTGAAAAAAGCCAAAATATTATTTCAGGCAACGTAAAGGGCCTCCTACTATATCTCTACACACATTTCAAAAGTGCTAGGAGCTGATATATCTAAAAACCTTTGTGTTTAAGGAAATCGATAGTGTGTGTTACAATTAAGCCAAGGATTATTAATGACTGCATCAATTTCACATGCTGTTTTTGTTAGGTTTTCCTTCCTCAGATTTGTTTTAAATTACAAGAACTTGGTCCACCCCAAGTGCTAAGAATTAAGTTATGCTCTCCTGTTGATGAAAACTCAAAGCCTTAACCTAAAATCGCAATATATTCTGAATATTAATGCTTAAAAGTGCAACATTTTCACACCTTAGGAACCATTAAACATAACTTTTTAAATTCAATTAAAGTGAAGACAGTGCCCTGTACGGCAATGTTTAACCAGTCACTGGATGTATCACCTAGAATACGGCACCCAGTACATACCTTTTCAGGTTGAGAGAAGGTTCCTGCATTACACGGAGTTCTGGGATCCCACAGTTTAACTGTTTGATCCCAACTTCCAGTCACCATGACATTCACTTCTGGGCAATACTCAACACACCTGATAGGAGCATCATGAGCACCAACAAGGTTTTCTGTAAAAAACCACAATATATTGTAACTTTATTGGCTCTACAAACAGTCAGAATGTGTTGAATAAAGAATTAAGAACAGGACACACTACTGCAGTACAAACACACTATTTTCTGACATTCCCACAGGTGTACTGCTATAGCAGTCCCTTTAAGGATAGTTCAGTCTTCAGAAGCATAACTTTTGCAAAGATCAGAAATGTTAAATTTAAACTTAGGTCTCCTGAGATTATGAAAGGAAGCTCAGAATTTTAGGCAGCCACGTTCAGTACTATAAAGAAGTGCTCAGTGGTATCATCACCTGTGACACAGCCGCTAATACAGAAAGCGAGTTAAGCTTGTATATATTAACACTATGATTAAAAAAAGGAATTAATATTACATATTAATAAAAATATTAAGTTAACATAAACACTCATAGAAACAGCATTTTATTTATATTATAATATAAATATATAATTTTATGTTATATATATAACAGAATTATTTGACCTTTTTCATAACATTACTGCGCACACAAGTTTGTCAAGCCCTGGCAATTGGCTGGTTCTGGTGACCACATTTGTCTCAGGCTGAGATTTGCTTTTTTCTTTAACACACATACAAACACACAAAAAAGTTGGACAAACTAACTCCATATTTTGCACCAATGAGGCACCGGAACTGTGTTACTTCCTAGCAATGTTTGTTAGAAAAAAAACATAGTATAAGACCATGATATTTGACAAAGCAAGAGCTTTATATACATTCTGCCATACATGCGAATGATCCTTCTAAATATGTCTAAACCACAAAGTTTTGAAAAATAACATGCTCATTTTCAGTTCAGCTTGGCTAATTACCCCTAATTGAGACACAATAGCCTACGGCAGAGCAGGATTATCCTCAGAAATCCAATTCAAGACATCCTACAACAAGCATCTACCCAACTTCCTGGCAAATGGCCAAACACTTCCATGCTTTTGGGTGGTACTCATTAGGGCCACTAGTTATTCTGCTAGATAAAGGCACACGTGATGTGAACCTTGTATCGACAGTGTGAGAAGTATATAGCTATTTCCTTTCCTTCCACTCCATTTTCCTTCCACTTCCATTTATTTTTTAAATAAAAAAGAAATACACGTGCAAAATACATCAATGAATATTCATCACCAGAGAAGTTTAAACCTCAGTTTAGCAGCAACAGATTCGGCCCTTCTGTTAAAGGTGTTATAGCACAATCTTCAATTACAGACTGAGGAATACTGCCTTGTTCAGTGCCTTAGTAATAAGAAAGGGCTGCATAGCATAGGAGGCTGCTGAGCACTGACACTGACAACTTACATCAATAGAGGATACTACTTAAAGCAAATATCCCCTATCTAAAAAACTTGAAACATATTCCACTCATGTAAGTATATAAATCTGAAGGCCAGTTGTTGAGACCACTTGCAGAACTCGATCTGCTTACCTTGGTCCGTGTTTAGATCGTGCATTTTCAATTGCTGATCTAACCCTCCACTCCAGGCATGGGTAGGATCCTATAAAACAAAACAAAACAAAAAAGTCACCTTATGACATGCCTTAAGTTTCCCTGGCTGCTATACATTTAAACTCCTAGGCTCTTAACACAGGACTTGCTTTCAAGAGTTTTGGGAAGATGGGAAGGAATTAAGACACAAGGGTTAAGAACCAGCCCGGATCTAAACAGGCAGATGACAGAAGCTTTGCAAAATGCTTAAGTAAGGCACTTTAAGCTACACAGATATTTTTTTTAATTTAAAAGTAAAACTAAAAAGAAACAAAAGCAGTTAGAGACTATATCAAATAATTTATATTTCTATAACAGCAAAATACATAATGCTTGTTTTTAAACAACCACCAACCTAACCTATTTCCATCTAATTGAAGTGTATCCCTTCTGAAACTAGAAACCATTTGAGAACCTGTGTGTTGATCCACAGCACGATATTAGCCATGTGACAAAATGTTCAGTGAAAAAGGCACAAGTAGGATTAAAAATTTAAACTGATCCTTAAAACATTCAGTAACACATCGTGACCAAGTCACTGGAGGACATGCCAGAACACAGTGCAAAAAGAGATGATGTTAAATGAAACCTTCTATTTAAAAAAAAAAAAAAAAAAAAACAACAAAACCCAACAGCCACACACACCACACAAAACAAGAAAGCGGCACCAAAAAACTTAAACCATTCATATTTAAAATTCAGTGCATTAAAAATACAGAAATGAAGTATCTGGTAAGTGGCTCACTTAGAACAATGCCAAGTTTCAAAAAAAAAAAAAAGTATGAGACAATTAAAAAGAAAACACTAGGAGGCTACAGGTGTTTATCGTGAATAACGATTTCTGCCTATATACCACCAGTAAAACTCTTTGCAAGAAACACACACACAATCTACCATAGCAGTGCAGAAACAGCAAAAGGCAGCTCAAATTACTTTTGCCTACCACTTCTACCAGAAGTAAATTACTTGAGTGCCTGCAGCCTTCACAGGAAATGTCTATATTTAGGACTAGAATGACATTAATTAAAAGAAGAATAATTGGCAGAAGTAAGCTATTTTTTTAAACCTAGATTTCAGGTAGGATTTCACTATCCCTTTAATTTCAGTGACTGACAATGTCTCATGTACCTCCTTGGGCACTATATGTCTATAAAATAATAACTAAAAAAAAAAAACCAAACCACCTCACACACTTACATAAAAAGCACAGTCAAGGACAGCTCCTGAATGTTGATATTTGAGTCTCATGGTGTTGGCAGGAACATCATAGAGCCGGACAGTTGTGTCCCAGGATGAAACAAGCAGAAACTGAGATGTATTTGGACTAAACTTTACTGATGAAATACCATCATCTGGAGTTTGATTTAGTTTGAACTCGTTTGATCCCGTCATCTGAAGAAAAGACAATAAAGCACAGATACAATTTTAGTAATAACAAGAACATAAACTGAGCAAGTTAGTTAGCTAACTGATCCATCTTAAACATAACTTGTAGTAAACTTTTCTGGTCTACTTCCTTTTACACAGAAGTTCAGAACACCTAGATTTCTGAAAAAGATGCTAATCCCTGTCCAAAACCTCAATAAATTCTTCTCCCTACAGAGAGCTTTTAAATGTAAATATCAAATATAACATGGAATAAACAGTATGAAAAGTGTATTTTTATTATTATTATGATCATCTATAAGCTTGTATATCATTACTTACAAATGTATTTTTCCCCCATGCTACTGTGTATGTGGCTGTATTTTTTAAAGTAAATATTTATAAATAGCTGTGAACATCAAGAAGTTACTTTAAAAAACACATACAGGCAGAAAGGAATCCGATTTGAAAACTCCAACAAAAGGCATTGATTTGTTTCTGATTTGGTATGACTGTCATACACTTCCAAGAATTCCAATTGGATTACCTTTTAAATAGTTTCAGGCTCTCACAACTTTCCAATCCTTAGGCTTATGTAAGTACTATAAAACATGTCCAATGAAACAGCTTTAAGATTATTTTTTTTTTTTTCAGTGACAGATCAGTGACCATGAAGGTAAAGGCAGCACTCACTTCATAGGACTAGTTAGTCGTATACACAAAAATTCAAAGAAGGAGAGCAGAGGCTTTGAGCAGTAAATTTCAGCTGGGAATAAATACAGTGCAGACACTACAAACACTCTCAAAGAAGCAGCTGTTTGTTATAAGGACACCAAGAAAACTGCCAAAATTTTTGTTAAGGCTTCAGAAAGCCTTAACAGCGCATTTCCCTTATGCTAAAAGGACAGAGAAGTAAATTAGCTCAGATTTTCCATAACGCTATCACTCCTGAATTTGTATGTACAACTGCAGAGGTAAGATTAGACCTCCGAGAATAAATAAAGAGAGAATGAGCAGATGAACTGGGACGAGGTTCAAATTTAGAGCACAATTATTCTAGTTCAGCACCTGTCAGTAACTGAACAATCATCAAGTTGTATAATGTGAGCACTACACATTCTTACGCTGGACAGATTTCCTAAGTGGCAGCTTTGGTAGGTGTTCTGTGAGACACTCTTAAAAAAATATCCACTATGTAAACACAAAGTGGTATTTCTGCTATTTAAACACAAGGGGGGGGGG